CAGATCTTTAAAACGAACTGTCTTCACTCTTCCAGATATCTGCGCTGAATGTTATGAAACTGATGATTTACAATTCAGCATTTTATGAAACCTCCAGCTTTGTAATGGCAGATGCTGCACACAATTCTCCGACCTCCCCCTCCGGCCAGTAACATGGCCATATTGTTCATGTACGGTATACGTAATGCAACCCTCCTCAATGTTTTCTGAAGAACAGGTAATATTTGAACGGATCACACTGAAAGCATAATAGAAATGTTATTCTGTCCTGAACTAGTACAGAGGAATCCCCCTAACAGGACCACCCTGGTTATCCCATTCCGACAAAATGTTAGATATGATTGCTGTGTCTGGAATATACAAATGCATCCACAAAGTGAAAATCAATGTTTCCGAATCTGTAATCTGGTTTGTTTGCATGTTTAATATTTTGGTTCTAAATCCCCCTTTCCTCTGAAGATTGATCCACATTCGTATCATGCTTCCACGGCTAATGACAGCAGTCTTAAAGCGGAGTTCCACTCACCTGTCAAAAAATAAAAGTAAGCAGCTATAAAAACTGTAGCTGCTGACTTTTAAAAAATAGCCATTTACCTGTCCCTCGGTGTGTCCTCCCGCAGCCTGTTTCACCGGCCTCCTGTATTCCTGTAGGCTGGCATCTTTAGTGAGGGCACTCGGCTGTGACAGTTTGCGGCTTCACAGCCAGGTACCCACTGCGCATGCGTGAGTAGTGCTGCGCTTCATGAATGGTCCTGTAGTCTTCTGGGACCTGTCACGTGTTCCAAAAGACTACAGGGAGGGAGGGAGGACACCTTCTGTTTCTGATCGCCTAGGCCAGGGGTAGGCAACCTGCGGCTCTCCAGCTGTTGCAGGACTACAAGTTCCATCATGCCTCTGCAAGTCATAGCTGTAACTGTCAGTTTTGTAATGTTGCAATGCCTCATGGGAAATGTAGTGCCACAACAGCTAGAGAGCCGCAGGTTGCCTACCCCTGGCCTAGGCGATGGGACTGGAAGTGGGAGCGGGTACCTGTCAAATTCGGGTACCCGCCCCCCAAAGGTGCCAATCCTTAATGGAGAGTGGGGAAGCAGTCCTTCAAGCGGAACTTCCCCTTTTGGGTGGAGCTCCGTTTTAGCCCCATTTTTGCCAATAAACACACTTTGCCAACAACTGTTTTTACGCCATTTTTGCTGACAAACATACGACAACCATGTGCATTGCCTGCAGTTGCAGGGTGTTTCCCCATCTGCTTGAGTGTGCAGCGTTTGGCAGGCTTGCCAGCCACCAATCACTGCATGTCAGGTAAACGTTGCTAATGCACATGTCAGAATTTGGCTGAACAGTAGCTTTAGATCCAGGGTGTCAAACTGGTGGCCCTCCAGCTGTTGCTAAACTACAAGTCCCATGAGGCATTGCAAGATTGACAGTTACAAGCATGACTCCAAAAGGCAGAGGCAAGATGGGACTTGTAGTTTCACAACAGCTGGAGGGCTTCCAGTTTGACACCCCTGCTTTAGATTCTGGAGAGTAGTTGGATGTGTATACACGTTATAACTACCCACAACCCAAATACTATACAGACCACTTCATTAAAGCCCAAATTCAGGAAGCTATAAAATGATCCCTTACAGTGGGGCTATACCCACACTGCAAGGGTTAAATGCTTTTTTTGTCTAGGGGACAAGAAAAGCACCTTTACTCACCTGATCCTCTACTCAACCACACTCCAGAGGTGGGCTGTTCCTCAGTGTCCTTGCATCGGGTGCATGGCTATGGACCCTGCATTGGTATTGATGACACCAAGACCTTAGACCGATGGAACCTAAAGGAGAAGACTCTGCGAGGACCAGTCTAGCAGCAGGGAGTCGCAGAGGATCAGGTAAGTAAATCTACTTTCTATGTCCTCTAGATCTAAATGACCAATTACAGTGCCTTGAAAAAGTATTCATACCCTTTGAAATTTTCCACATTTTGTCATGTTACAACCAAAACGTAAATGTATTTTATTGGACTTTTATGTGATAGGCCAACACAAAGTGGCACATAATTGTGAGGTGGAAGGAAAATGACAAATGGTTTTCAACATTTATTACAAATAAATATGTGTTGGTTGTAACATAACAAAATGTGGAAAATTTCAAAGGGGTATGAATACTTTTTCAAGGCACTGTAACCCTTGTTATGCGGGCACAGCTCCACTGCAAGCCATCATGTTATAGATCCCCAGAGTTGGGCTTAAAAATGAAGATCTAACCCTAAATTGACATTTAGTTTGCTAAATCACTGTATACTGTAAACATTGTTATATTTTTTTCTTTGAAATACTGTTCGTTTGCTGTTTAACTTTTTTTACTTATTTATATCTCCTACACATCACCTCCTGTCAATCCAGGATTGGGTGCAGATCTGGAGCAACTTCCTAAAGCTGTCAACAGTGGAACATGTCTGTATAATGTGTGTCAGGGTTAGAACAGAGGAAGATTTCTACTGAAAGGAGAAGAATCAACAAAAGGGACGCATCATACTTACTGTCAGTTATGTCCCTTGTGCTGATTTTTATGTTTTTATTTTTAGCTAAATGTAGGCTTTATAAAAAACAAATGTAACTTATACACTATTACTTCAGTATTAGCAATACAAAGATAAAGACCATAGTTGTATACTGTGACATATGACATGAATAACTCCGTCTATTTAGATTCACTTACAGACTAATTGTTATATAACAAAGATGTCAGAACTTCATGAAAGAAAAATGACAGGTTTTGTCGATTGCTACTTTTACTTTGCTCTAGCAGCCCACACAGAATTTCAGTAATTAGCTCTGAGCTCAGGACAGCTTGAAACAGGGATGATTTCTGGGGTTGGGCTAAGCGGTGGGCAGAAGAGACAGCTGCCTTTGGTGCTTCATTAGAAGGGGGGTACACCCTATGCTGATGAAGTATTTCACAGTTTATATGGGGGGCATACTTTAGCCTTTTTTGCCTTGGTTGCTAAAGGACCTTGTCCCAGCGCTGCTGACTTGTCATCTGATGAACCGAATATCAGCAAACACACATATCCCTAAGCAGTATGACTGCACCTACTAATATAAAAGCCCATCACAATGAGAACATGTTTTGCAAGAATATGTTTTTTTTGTGGAAAGATGAACAATATACAGTGGGGGAAAAAAAAAAAAAAAAATTAAAAAGAGAAACAATAGCATACAAGATACAAGGATCTGAGTAACGTTCAGCCTCAGCACGCCATAGACTTGGACACGGCATCTATCCATCCTAGGCACACTAAAATGCCAGGGGGTCACACAGCAACTAAATGGCCTGTGTGCAAGCAGTCTATGGAGTGAAGGTCCACTGTAACTAGATCAGTGACTAACAATTACATCACCAATCTTGTCTCCAAATATCACCCAAACCGTTCCTCTCCGCTCCTCCCTTGACCTCTTGCCCTCTAGCTCCCTTGTCCCCTCCTCCCATGCTCATCTGCAGGACTTCTCCAAAGCCTCCCCCATCCTCTGGAATTCTCTACCCCAATCTATCCAACTATCGCCTACTCTGCCCAGTTTTAGGCAATCTCTGAAAAATTCTCTCTTCAGAGAAGCCTAACCTGCCTATCAGCTAATAACCAAATCTTCTATTTCTCCTATCAGTCCATCCCCCATAGTTATTACCTTCTGTACCACCAGCCCCTCACACTCCTAGATTGTAAGCTCCAAGGAGCAGAGCCCTCCTAACCCTCTTGTATTGTACTGTATTGTCTCCCTTTATATTGTAAAGCACTGAACAAACTGTTTGTGCTATATAAATCCTGTATAATAATAAAAGGCAAGATATGGCACCACCTGCCTAGAGTTTGCATGTTCTCCCTGTGCCTGCATGGGTTTCCTCCGGGTACTCCAGTTTCCTCCCACACTCCAAAGACATGCTGGTAGGTTAATTTGATCCTATCTAAATCGGCCCTAATATGTGTATGTATGAATGAATGTAAGTTAGGGACCTTAGATTGTACACCCCTTGAGGGTTAGGGACTGATGTGAATGTACAATATATATATATATATATATATATATATATATATATGTGTAAAGCGCTGCGTAAAACTGACAGCGCTATATAAGTACCTGAAATAAATATAGTGATTAGCATCACTATAGACTAGAAAACAATGCTCTGACTTCCACTTTTAAGGCCTCATTCACACTGGCACTGTCCAACCTGCATTTATGTACATTTAGAAGACATCTCTAATCTAAATGCATGTAATGAGTTTTCAATGACGATTTTCAAACTGCATATTTCCCTGTGTTTAGGTGCAGTCAGTTTTATTCCATTTAGAGAAAAAACAATTCTCTGCATCCAGCATCCAATTAGACACAAACAAGGCTAACAACGTTTTAAAAGCAAGAACATCTAAATGCAGAGAAAAAAAGTAATCTGGAAAGCAGAACATTTTATTTATACTTCCCACAGGACTGCCCTTGCAATTAGAAAAGCTAAACGCAAGAGTAACATTGGGAAGGAGGCCTTAGGTAAATGGAGCAGATTTTTCTGAACCATTTGCTGAATAGTATGAGCAGTCCTCTGATCAGATGGCTTGTTGCCTTGAGTTGTCCGGCAACATTTCATTGCTGGAAACAGTTACAAATGATTGCAAGTATACACTTACACATACAAGAGTAGGGGTTACACATGGTTCCAATCCTTGATGAATAGATGTCATCTATCAGGCTTAACCAGTTATCGACTTCAGAGAACAAAACAATGTTACTTCCAGGGCTACCTTACAATATATCAGATGCCTTACAGCTTGCTGTAGAAATCATAACATATTTTCCACTTAGTAAAAATTAGCTTCAAAAGGAATGGAGAAGAAAAAAATTTAAATTTGTGTGAAGCATCCCATGCCAGATACACTATATTGCCAAAAGTATTGGGACACCCCTCCAAATCATTGGATTCAGGTGTTTCCAATCACCTCCATGGTCACAGGTGTATAAAATCAAGCACCTAGGCATGCAGACTGCTTCTACAAACATTCGTGAAAGAATGGGTCACTCTCAGGAGCTCAGTGAATTCAAGCATGATACTGTGATAGGTTGCCACCTGTGCAATAAGTCCATCCGTGACATTTCCTTGCTACTAAATATTCCACACTCAACTGTTAGTGGTATTATAACAAAGTGGAAGCAACTGGGAACAACAGCAATTCAGCCACAAAGTGGTAGACCACGTAAAATGAGAGAGTGGGGTCAATGCATGCTGGAGTGCACAGTGCGCATATGTCACCAACTGTCTGCAGAGTCAGTAGCACAACAGTGCGTAGAGAGCTTCATGGAATGGGTTTCCATGGCCGAGCAGCTGCATCTAAGCCTTACATCACCAAGTGCAATGCAAAGCGTCACATGCCGTGGTGTAAAGTACGCCACTACTGGACTCTAGAGTAGTGGAGACGTGTTCTCTGGAGTGACTAATCACGCTTCTCTGTCTTTAAATCCGATGGACATGTCTGGGTTTGGTGGTTGCCAGGAGAACGGTACTTGCCTGACTGCATTATGCCAAGTGTAAAAGTTTGGTGAAGGGGGATTATGGTGTGGGGTTGTTTTTCAGGGGGTTGGGCTTGGCTCCTTAGTTCCAGTGATTGTAACTCTTAAGGCGTCAGCATACCAAGACATTTTGGACAATTTCATGCTCCCAACTTTGCAGGAACAGTTTGGGGATGGCCCCTTCCTGTTCCAACATGACTGCACATCAGTGCACAAAGCAAAATCCATAAAGGCATGGATGAGCGAGTTTGGAGTGGAGGAACTTGACTGGCCTGCACAGAGTCCTGACCTCAGTCCCATAGAACACCTTTGGGATGAATTAGAGCGGAGAATGTGAGCCAGGCCTTCTCATCAGACATCAGTGCCTGACCTCACAAATGCGCTTCTGGAAGAATGGTCAAACATTCACATAGACACACTCCTACACCTTGTGGACAGCCTTCCCAGGCTGTTGAAGCTGTTTTAGCTGCAAAAGGTGGGCCAACCCAATATTGAATTGTACGGACTAAGACTGGGATTCCATTAAAGTTCATGTGCGTGTAAAGACAGACGTCCCAATACTTTTGGCAATATAGTGTATATTTTCTAGGTTTGAGTCTGCAAAGAGCTACAAATGCAAATACCTGGGGGAACAGTGAAAGTGACAAAACATTCACTGGTGGTGAATCAATCATTTTCATGTAAAACACATGCACATGGAGGTAATGTTTGGAGAATGTCAAATTCACTGCTTTATACTGTATATATTCCCCTTAATGTGCTCAGGTTTTACACAAGGAAAAAAAAAAAAAAAAAAAAAAATCTTCCCAAATAGATGCAACTGTTACTAGAATGTGGAAAATGTAACTTCAAAAGTTACCGCTTAATGGGGGCTATTTTGAAAAAACCTAGAGCAATGGTAAACAGACCCAGTGGTAACCAGACATCAGTTGGCTCTTATTTGATAACATGCATTACACATATGTCAGCTGGAATGTTATCAATGTATACAGAACACCCCCTAGATTTCCTTTGCATCTTTTTTTTTTTTTTTTTTTTAATAAATGTGCTGCACCCCCCCCCCCCCCTCCCCCCTTTCCCCCCCGCCCAATTAGTGCGGATTACAGGCTGGCTATAGAACTTCACTTAGGTGATCATTGGTAATGCTATTGTTTTATTATGCTTTTTCTTTTTTTGTCATTCCTTTTTATTCCTACAGTGATCCATTTATTCAGGATTGTAGTCACTTTGTTGTTATGAGCATAGGCTTCTTTACACCATAGTCTACTCACAGGTGCAACTGTTCTTCCTATTGTTTATTGCCCAAATGTCTCTCCTTGGCATTCTCTGACTACAATGTAATGTTTTCCTTGATTCTGTATTACAAAATGTTTTTTCTATTTCTTGTAATACTGAATAGATCTTGAATAAACATTTGACTATACCAATATGGTCTGATCAGTACAATGTCAGGTTCACTAATGTAGGCTCAGTTCTGACTCAAGACACCTACAAAGCTTGCCGAGGACGATCACCATGTTCTCAAGTCCTTAAATGCACAAAATCATTACCTTCAACGATATGTAGATATTCATGCAGTCCTGAATGATGATGGCATCACTGAAGACTATGGACCAATTCTGGACAGATGGCATGAATTTTTTTCCATGGAAAATAAAAGTGAGCTTCTAGACTTTGATCTTTTGTCTGTTCAACAGGTGATGGTTGGGTTTGATAACTTCTATAGACCTCAGCAGCTCTACCCCTCTCAGGGGGCAATGGCCTCCCAAATGAAGAATTTCAAATGAAATCGACAAAAAGAGTGTCCAAAGGCTGTCTTAAGAATCCATAATCATTTATTGGAAATTACAATGGGGTTAATTTACTAAAACTGGAGTGTGCAAAATCTGGTGCAGCTGTGCATGGAAACCAATCAGCTTCCAGGTTTTATTGCAAAAGCTTAAAGTGTTCCTAAACCCTATCCAAAGAAAGGGCCAGTTTACTGACTTAAGGGGGGCTGGCTGTGCCCAGTGGTAGTAAACAATGTCTGATCTTTGGTATTAGTGGGAGAAATAGTTGGTGTTAGCGGCAGGAATTACGTCCCTATCGTTCGTTTTAGGAGCAGGAATAATACCTCAAGGGCCGGATAACAGCAGGTAAAGGGCCGCATCCGGACCCAGGGACACAGTTTGGAGACCACTGATTTAAAGAATAGCCAACTATTGACACTTTCCTCAAAGAGAATGAAAAAAATACAACCACCAATTATCAACAGAATTAAAATAATCTGAATCTATAGTTATACTGCCTAAATTACCTTTGTGCTGAAAATGTACAAGCAGCAGCATGGATAACCTCCTTTTGTTCACATTCATATAGTGACATGTACTAATCTACAATTCAATATCTGGGGCTTCCCTAATGAGTTAAAAGGCTGATAGAGTTCCTGAAGAGGCTCATTGTGTAGGATGCTCACTCATGCATCCGGTGTCACACATAATACAGCGCAGATCCTTTCCAAATCACGTGACTCCACTAGGTTTTCACATTCCTTAAATTGTGAGACTAAGCTGAAACTGCATGAACTTACAAATATGGCAGGAACACAAAATGTACGTCTGCAGATTTACATTATACTGATAAACAGCGGAGATGGTCCAGAACAAAACTGTGCAAAACACTAGAGAGTCACATAACCAACACAGCCGTCTGCTTGTATAGAGCCTTTAGTTACTAAGAAGTAGCAGAATTTAAAAGCAAAGATTTTACAATCCAATAAAATACTCGATCACTGGTTTACCAACATGTACGCTTCACAGCAACTAAGTCAAACCTACATTTTAAAGCTGAATTCCAGGTCTAGATATTTTGCAGTTACACTGGTCCAGCTTAACAAATGTAAGTATGTACACTCCATGGCCAGTTTATTAGGTGTACTTTGCTAGTGCCAAGAAAATATCCCCCACACCATTACACCACCACCAGCCTGAACCATTGATACAAGGATCCATGCTTTCATGTTATTTACGCCAAATTCTGACCCTTCCATCTGAATGTCGCAGCAACTAGCCCATTATCCTCTGACATCAAAAAGGAATTTTCATCCACAAAACTGCCACTCACTGGATATTTCCTCTTTTTCAGATCATTCTCTGGAAACCCTAGAGATGGTTGTGCATGAAAATCCCAGTAGATCAGCAGTTTTTGAAATACTCAGACCAGCCCGTCTGGCACCAACAACCATGCCACGTTCAAAGTCACTTAAATCCCCTTTATTCCCCATTTTGATGCTTGGCTTGAACTTCAGGAAGTGGTCTTCACCATGTCTACATGCCTAAATGCACTGAATTGCTGCCATGTGATTGGCTGAATAGCAATTTGTGTGACCAAACAATTGAACAGGTGCACCTAATCAAGTGGCCGGGGAGTGTATGCACCATACCTGTGAGATCCTCATAGAAGTTGGCAATCACTGTAGTAAGTACCGCTACTACAGTGATCAATGCTATCTTCCAGGTCCTGTTATGGTCAGCTGCTTAGGGAACACAGGAGGTCTCTCACTTGGCATGAATGCAATCAGAAATCATTTTTCATTTTCTCAATGAATGCAAAGTGTTCTGTAATTGTATGAAGTGGAGAGGCAGGGCTGTGCCACCTGTGCTGAGTGAGCAATATCCTATGTTCATTAGTCAGCTAATCAGTGTGGAATCCAGAAGTCAATGGCAATCGTTGAAGTACTAGTGCCAACTACAGCGATTTCCAACTTCCACGGGGATTTTCCAGGTTCGGTCAAAGCTGGATCAATGGAACCAGGCAAAAATAGCCATACCGGAAGTTTTAAAAACTGAAAGCTAATATCTGAATAACTGAAGCAATATAGCCAGTTCTTGTGAAAGATTTTGATGTAAAAAGGACCTACTACTGACAACGGTCTTCCTTGAAGTGGAACAAAAGTCTACAGTAAGCCCAAACTAAATCTCACTCCCCAATATTCTCCCCGATGTGTAGCTGTCATATCTACCTAGCAGCAGCTTTTCCCTCTTCACCATGTGTTACATTAACACACATGCTGAACTGGAGCTGAATGACTGCTTTTTAGGGATAAAAGGTAGAGATTTTGTTAAAAAAATAAATATATATATGACACTGTATACATTCCAAGTGCTTCTTTGGTGAACTTGAGGATGAACTTCTTCACAGTGCCTACATACACGAGTTTGGGCTTGTTATAAAAATAATTTATTGTTTAATAAAACTCCGAGATAGGAAAAAGATCACCCATTAGTACACCCCCTACACAAAACACTAAACAGTTCATAACATTTTACCATTTGGGAGAAAGGTCCCACTGAATTTTCATGACCTCATCTCTCTAATTCAAAAGGTAACAGCATCTACCCTGCCAAGGAGGATGTGTAACAGCAGGGATTACATCATATCCTCTCCTCTCTGCAGTCAAAGGAAACTACAGTTCCCATCAACCACAGGGAATCATAGTGAATGTGGACAGGTACACTAGCCCTGTATATGTTGAATGTGTCTGAGAGTCTTGGTCTGCCCACCACAGCAAGTGGGGCTGAATTACATCACTACTTCCAGGAGAAAGAACTACAGAAGGGGTGTGCCAAGACCAGTGGCTGGGGGAATAGGAGGAATAGCAGCCACTGGTATAACAAACAAGAAACCAAAGAGAATTAACTGTTTGATTTGAAAATTAATAGACTACTTCAGAGGAATGAATGAACCAAAAGACGGATGACATATTTAAGAATATGTAAAGGCTTTCCTGTCCACAGATTTGCTTTAAAGTAGAAGTTTAGGCTGCACAATACTCAACATTTTTAAATCTGCCTCCCCAGTGCCTCCCTTTGCCCTGTATACATTTTAGCATACAGAAAAGCAAGTCATTTAGCTATGCAGTCGTGTGACCACAAAGAGTTTCTTCCTACCATCCACACATTACACAGAGTAGACGGAGGTTAAAGGTTACAAAAATCTCTTAAGGGTCCGTGCACAAAAAATGGCTTAAAAAAGGCGGTGCCTGAGCGTGTCGTGTAATGACATGGTGCAAGGGAGCCAAGCAGAGTGGCCGGAGACTCGTGTGGGTCTGCGGGACGGGAGCAAGGCAAGTCGGGAGCGGGACTGTCAGTGCTGTTTGGACTGGATTGGACTGAAGGGACCGCCTCACATGGAGAGAGACTATCACTGTGATTCAGAAGTAGATGTGTCATGACGGTGAGGTGTCATCATCATCTGTGCTGCTGCACACTGCTGTCAGTGTCACTCTTAGTCAGTTTCATATGTGTCCCTGCCCATTCTGATTTCTTGCCCTCCTGAGTCTTGTCCCTGAGCTACATACTTACTATATCAAAAAAAAAAAAAAAAAATGTTTTTCCTTAATATCTACCTTAACCACCTCCCGCCCGCCATATAGTCCAATGACGGGCGCAAGGTGGTTCTCTTATTCTGGGAGGAAGTCATATGACGTCCTCCCATTCTCACCGCGCATGCGCGGCTCAGGGAGCGCGGGCGATCGACGGTGCGCTGTTTCCCTCGGACACAGTGGATCACGGAAAGAGCTGAAGATGTCGGCTCGGTCATGTGATCAGCTGTGTCCAATCACAGCTGATCACATGTAAACAGGGAAATGCCAGTTATCGGCATTTCTCTCCTCTCGAGCTGTCACACTGACAGCTCGAGAGGAGATCTAGTAAATCGGCATTCCGCGGAGGGGACATGTACACAGATCATCAGGGCACTGATGATCAGTGTGCCCTGATGATCAGTGTAGCCCCAGCAGTGCCTTGTGTCAGTGTCCATCAGTGCCTTGTGTCAGTGCTCATCAGTGCCTCGTGCCAGTGCCCATCAGTGCCACATCAATGCCACATATCAGTGCCTACCAGTGCACATCAATGCCATATATCAGTGCTCATCTGAGCTGCCTTTCAGTGTCACCCGTCAGTGCCGCCTATCAGTGCTGCCAGTCAGTGCCGCCTATCAGTGCTGCCAGTCAGTGCCATATATCAGTGCCATGTATCAGTGCTGCCTTTCAGTGCCCATCAGTGATGCCTGTCAATGCCCATCAGTGCCACATACCAGTGCCTCCTCATCAGTGCCACCTATCAGTGCAGCCTATCAGTGCCCAGCACTGCAGCCTCATTAGCGTATATCAATGAAGGAGAAAAATCACTTATTTACAAAATTTTATAACAAAAACTAAGAAAAAAACTTTTTTTCCCCAAAATTTCTGTGGTTTTTGATTTTTTTTTTAAAAAAAAAAAAAACCCAGAGGTGATTAAATACCACCAAAATAAAGCTGTCACAAAAAAATGATAACAATTTCATATGGGTACAGTGTTGCATGACCGTGCAATTGTCATTCAAAATGCGACAGTGCTGAAAGCTGGAAACTGGCCTGGGCAGGAAGGGGGTATAAGTGCCCTGTAGGCTAGTGGTTAAATCACATCGCTAAGTGCATATTGTACTGGTTTGTAGCCCGAATACTGAAATTTGCACTTAAAACTGTAATTTGTCTTTTTAACTTTTGGAAATGTCAGTAAAAACTTGGCTGTGCCAGTAAAATTTGGGTGTCGTGTCAGTGAATTTCAATCTGCGAGGCTGGCAACACTGTTCAGAGACAAACGTTAATGCAGACACTGCAAAAAATTGCAAGATCTGCTTTATATCATCTCTACCCAAGCAAAAAAGTAAATGAATGAGTATATAAATAAAAGAGCAGAGTAAAAGTGATTGCCTATACACTGCGGCTTCCAGCAGCTTACTGTAGGCGAGGGTCACATCACTGGGCCTTCACACAGGAAAGCCGAGGACAAATCTTGGGAGGGCTCATTCTTGCACAGTGACCTGAGATCCTCAGCTTTCCTAAGATCCTAGTAAAAGGCCTGCTGATGTCATCTGTACCTAGGCAAGCTGGATGGAAGTTAGTGTGCAAAGTGAAGAGTTCATCATTTTTCTTCTATTTTTCAATATAATATTTCTGACCATTTTGTGTGTGGAGGGTGCTACAAAAATGTTCATGCAAATATACAAGGTCTGCTTTAGATTCCAGAAGAATGACCAGAAGTTTCTCTGGCTGATTTGTGAACAACTGGAGCACAGACAGGAGTCAAACATAATACTATGGATCTATTAGTCTGGGATCACATATATTCCTGTGCAAATCACATGCGATTTGTATGCGGTGCGATTGTAGCCATACATTTTGTATGACTATTCACACTGCACCAAAAATGTGCAGGACCCTTTTTTTGGTCCGCACTAGAATCGGATCTCATGGGTATTTACACCTATGTGATCCAATTTTGCACATCGCACTGCATTCTGCGGACCGCTTTCGGGGTGTTGTTAACATATACACCCGCAGCAGTTCGCATGAATGGAACAGGATTCTGATGCGGTGTGGAATTCGCACTGAAAACGCTGTGAATTCTGGACCGTATCAGTGTGAACCAGGGCTTAAGGTACATGTGTTATATGGCTGTTTAATGTCCACTGAATAATTCTAGGGAGAACTTCCACTTTCATCTCTGTGGAGCCATTATTAATTGACAAGGAATCCAAAGAATCCATTTACAGAGTTATTTTTTGGGCGCTGGATCAGATAACATGCAGCTTGCAAAGTGAAAGCCATAGGCACTAGCATTTAATTCCTATCAGTCTGAAAATGCAAGTTACTGTACCAAAAATAATGCATTCAGTAATTTTGTATGCACAGTATATTAATATGAACACGATCCATAGGAATTCATTTGTAAAGGGAAGGTTGAATTGCCCCCTAGGACAAGGCCCCATAAGAACCTTTCACGCAGCTTTTTAAACTGAATATTGCCGCTTCCTCAGGGTACGACATCTACTCAGCATAGAAGTCAGTGGGAAATGGTCTGAGCCTCTAACTATAGACCAGCATTTCTCAAGCAGGCTTCTGTGGACCCCTAGGGTTCCTCCAGAGGTTGTTAGAGGTTCCTCAAGCAGTAAGTGATATCTGCCTTTCAGATGAGTAACCACTGACACCAATATAATAATTACTAGCAGGGGTTTCCTGAAACCAAAAAGTGATTTCAAGGGTTCCTCCACATTACAAAGGTTGATGTAGGCCGATTACATTGGTGGCGGAAAATGTTCTGGTATGATGTTATTGGAGCGTTTTCAATTTATTTCAATTCATTTTTATTAAAGCTGTAGTAAATACCACAGGGGTACTTGTAGTAAAGCTGACCTGTAGATACAAGGAATATCCCCCAAACGTGCACCATTTAAGAGATATTCAGTGGTGCTCCAACCAGTGACGTCACCGCCACATGTGCTCTGAAGAGATGAGATACACATGCGGTCCCTTCAGAGCTCTGTGCGACGGGCGTGACTCCCATGTGCATGAGTTACATCATCGCATCTCGGCCATTGAAGCAGCCAAAGCCAGCGAACCCGGAAGGAAGAGCGGGTGATGCTGGGAGCCCAGTCAGCGATGACAGTACACCACTGGAGGGCTTTGCTGTAAGGTAAGTATTTCATAATGTGTTAGTATGCGGTGCAGACTAGTGCATTATGCTCTTAAAGCGGAGTTCCACCTGAAAAAAAAAGTCAGCAGCTAAAAAAAAAAAAAAAAAACAAAAAAAAAAAAACAAAAACTGTAGCTGCTGACTCTTAAAATACAGACACTTACCTGTCCCTTGGTCCAGCAGTGTCCTCACCACTGCTGGCTTCACCGGACATCTTCTATCCCCAGCACTGGCATCTTCAGTGTGGGCACCCGGCTGTGACAGCTTGCAGCTTCACAGCCGGGTGCCCACTGCGCATGCGCTAGAAGCTCTGAGCTTTGTGAATGGCCCCGTAGTCTTCTGGGACCTGTCAAGTGTCTACTACTGGGAGGGAGGGGGGAGGTAAACTTCCGCTTCCGATCGCCTAGGCCAGGGGTAGGCAACCTGCGGCTCTCTAGCTGTTGTGGAACTACATTTCCCATGAGGCATTGCAAAATTACAAAACTAATAGTTACAGCTATGACTTGCAGAGGCATGATGGAACTTGTAGTCCTGCAACAGCTGGAGAGCGGCAGGTTGCCTACCCCTGGCCTAGGCAATCAGAAGGTGTCCTCCCTCCCTGTAGTCTTTTGGAACACGTGACAGGTCCCAGAAGACTACAGGACCAATCACGAAGCGCAGCACTACTCACGTATGCGCAGTGGGTACCTGGCTGTGAAGATGCAGGTTGCCTAACCCTGGCCAAGGCGATCACAGCGGAAGTGGGAGCGGGTACTTGTCAAATTCAGGTACCCCTGCCCCCCGCTCCCCAAACGTGCCAATCCTTAATGGGGATTGGGGGACAAAGGCTTAAAGTGGAACTTCCCTTTTTGGGTGGAGCTCCGCTTTAACGTGCACTGAGATTTTTTTTTTTTTTTTTTAAAGTGCATGAGTTGTCTACCGCTTTAAGTTGACAAATTGTACTTTGCTTAGCAGAATTTACAGACTAGTCACGGCTCTGGCCTTATAGCGTCTTACAAATTAAAGTCCCTAGGCCTCATTTACATGGGCATAGATATTGACTCAGGATCCACAGTAGATTGCTTTGTTCTGCGGTTACCAGTTGTTGAGAAGGTGATATGCTGAATCCCGCATGCCTGTTTAAAGAGGAATTTCACACTAAAATCCCTCTTCACGTCACCCCCACCACTGAGACATGCCCATGTCAAAAGGGATTAGAATAGTAGACCCAGTTTGGGGTTGTGCCAATTAACCTTCCAGTATGATTTCTGAGTGTGGGGAGAAACTGGACCGCCTTGGGGAAACCTACACATCTACTGGGAAAACACAAAGCAATCATGCTGTTGGGAACTGTACCCAGGATCCCAGTGGTGCAAGTCAAGAGGCTCAAACGCCCTTCAAGAATAAACCATACTCTTGTACAAAAATAACCTAAAATACGGCAAAGTCCAAAGAGTTTCCATTTGAAGACTTGAATATTGCAATGATAACACAGCGTGTAATCTCTAAACCAGTCAGTTAAATTTGAAGATAGCAAACGATTCGGAATCACAAGATTTACTTTAGTCATGGCAGCAGTAAACATTTCCCCAGGGAACCCTAGAAGATAAAACGAACTTTGTAAAGCTATGAAGTCATGAAGCGCATGACTTGAATTTGCAACTCTAAAAGTATTATGTGTAGAGGATTTTTTTTTATAAATGTTTTCTGCACAAACTCTCTTTTTCTCAGGTCCTTCGGATGTTCTTCATGGCTGTGCAGCTGGTAAATTCAAGAACAATGAGACAGTGTGGAAGGAGTCAGAGAAGTGTCACGCTGCTTGTGCGGGTCTACAGTCTATAGAAGAGAATGGTGCTAGAGATGGACACGCTCCAGGATGGTCAATCAGTGATACCGTTTGAGGCTATACACATTCTAACACAGCATTGCTTTTAAAGGAAACCCGTTCTCAGAGAAAGACAGAGGTTGCCATTACTGATTGCCTTGGAAAAATGCTAGCTGCCTGGCTGTCTCTGATTTCTATTACAGAGCCTGTGGCATGGAACAAGCATGCAGGTGTACCTCGGTTTACGAATTGAATTCGTTCCGCAGGACTTTTCGTATTGTGAACAATTCGTAAACCGAAACGAGGTTTCCTATAGGAATGCATTGAAAACCAATTAATCCGTTCTGGAGGTCAGAAAAAAGTAAAAAAAAAAAAAAAAAAAAAAAAAAAAAAAAGTATTTTATCTGTTCAAAACACTTTGTAAAAGTGCAATTTAAAGGCATAAATACTCTACAGGGACATGATTAAAAAAAAATTTGTACATGCATTGAAAACCAATTAATCCGGTCAGAACGACTGGTATACGTACTTGTAGGTCTGAGCACACTGAAGTCATTGGATCAGCATGATGGCGAGACAACTAGCATTTTAGGAGGTAAAAACCTCTTCAAGGTGATCTGCCTGATAACTCGCTACAACATTTTACTGAGTAGAATACCTATTGCTAGCTTGTTTTTTCAACCTATCCCCCCTGCCCACCGACCTACCCCTTCGCTACTGTGTTTCTTACATTTGGTAACCTTATAACCATTTTATAACTTTCCCCTCCCAGGCTTGCACTGACCTATTCCTGATTCCACGGTCAGCAACGCACTACCACTTGTCAGGTTTTTTCATGCTGTGGGATCCATGTCTGTTCTTTGTATTCCCAGAACACTGGGAGGGAGAACAACAAAACAGGTGTAACTTGACCAAAGTTTTCCTTTAAAGCCGAAGCCCTGGTTTACACCAGATGCAGTCCAGTGCGTTTTTTATCTGCCTCAAAAAAGCATGCCCAGTGTTTTCCAAGTACAGGCGTACCTCGGTTTACAAATTGAATTTGTTCCACAGGACTTTGTGTATTGTGAAAAATTTGTAAACTGAAACGCGGTTTCCCATAGGAATGCATTGAAAACCAATTAATCCGTTCCGGAGGTCAGAAAAAAAAGTTATAAAAAAAGTCCTTTATCTGTTAAAAACTAAAGTGCACCTTAAAGGCATCAATACTGTACAGGGACATGATTAAAAAAAAAAAATTTGTAAATGCATTGAAAACCAATTAATCCGTTCCGGAGGTCATAAAAAAGTCTGGAACGCAGCAAAATGCATCATAAACGCACCAGAATGCATATGTCTTGAATTGAGATTAAAAAAAAAAAAAAAAGAGGGGAAAAAACACATTGGAACGCATCAGGAATGCAGAAATTGCAGCATGTACCGTCCCCAACTCCAGGTTTCTAGAGTCCAAATAAACTATTTGCTTCACTAACAGATGCGCTCTGCTCAACCATTCACTAAAAGCTTTGTATTTCATCAAATGAATACAAGGCTTCTTTTGATTGGCTAGGGGGAAGTTGCGACATCATTTGCCTACTTCTCCCCCTCAGTCAGAGGACGTCTTGTATGCATTGATGAAACACAAGGCTGTGCATTTTTCGTATGTAAGGCAGCCCATTGAAATGAAAAGGCTGCCCTAAATGCAACCCACAAAATCGTGCAGAAAAGCGCACACACTGTCGCACATGCATAGGTGTGAACAGAGTCTTCCAGCATTCATCATACAGACCATTGTAGGTGTGTGCAATATCCAGCTCATGTTTATGGATACATTTCTTTCGGTACATTCTAATACTATGCCATTCTTCCCAAACTCATTTGCTTGTGTTGCCTCACAAACCCTGTTGCTAATAAAAACAATGGACAAGGAGTTTCCACACACAGAGCTGGAGACCCAAGCTGCATCCGCTACACACAGGACTACATTGCCTGCATATGTATGAGACCAGGCTCTGCAAGCAGGATCCCACTCACAGGAGCGTCCCAGCTCACAAACATAATACAATAGCCTGCATTCCACAAAACCAATACAAACCAACACCTCGGTCACATCGGGTGCGACTTGGTATGCGATTTGCATGCCATGCGACTTGCGAATCGCATGCCAAGTCGCACCCTATTGTCTGCAATTACAGCGGTCAAATTGGTGCAGTTCCGACTTGGTCAGAACCGCACTGATTTCTAAGCCCCCGGTCACATCAAAGCCGATTTTGAAATCATGCGACTTACAGCGAAGTCGCAAGATTTTGACATTGGGTGATCTGCCGATTTCAGTTGTGATTTGCAAGATATTTGACACAGATATCTATGCAAATCGCAACAAAACTAGTGCATGTACTACTTTAGAAATCGGTGCGGCTCCGACCAAGTTGGAAATGCACCCATGTGACCGCTCTAATAGCAGGTAATAGGGTGCGACTTGGCATATGATTTGCAAATCGCATGCCAAGTCGCGCCCGATGTGACTAGGGTGTAAAGTAGTACATGCATTTCCTTTGGTGCGATTTGCATAGACATCTGTGTCAGATAGCTTGCAAATCGCACCTGAAATCGTGCAACTTCACTGTAAGTCGCACGATTTCAAAGTCAAGCTTTATGTGACCGAGGTGTTAAATCAGCCACAGTATAGGGAACAATTCAACAAATCATTCTGAGACTGATTTATGCACCTGTGACTGACAGCTAGACACCTGGAAGGCATCAATTCAGTGCTGTTCTTGATATGTGAAATGTGTTTGTAAATGAGAAATAAAAGTGCGTATTAAGTCCTCATGCACACGGGACTTTTTACAGCGGCTGTTTCTGGCTTTTGATGTTTTTTTCTACAGCTAGTAACCCCCCAGCATATTATCCTATGTGTCCATGCACACAGACTGTAATCCCCCTCCCTCCTAGATTGTAAGCTCCAAGGAGCAGGGCCCTCGAACCCTGTGTGTATTGTATTGTTACTGTGCTGTCTCGTGTACTGTCTCCCATTATAATGTACAGCGCTGAGCAAACTGTTGGCACTATATAAAAATAAATGTTTTTTGGCTGGAAAAAAAACCCAGGACTAGTGGGTTTCTAGAGGAGTTTTAAAAATGCTCTAACGCTGAAAAATGAAGCAAAACGTTGAAAAACGCAGCAAACCGGCATTTTTTAGGACTTTTTTTGGTAAAAAAAAAAAATATGCAAACATGGCAAAACGCAGCTAAATGCTAATGCAAAACCGCTGAAAAACTCACATTTT